AGCTGGTGTCATCTTTGTAGATCTTCAGACATTTCCCTAGTGCCTGATTCTCTTTTCAAATACTTTATCATTTTAAACTATATTTTTCTATTACTGTCTATACCCATTTTCCTTAAGACTATGAGCATCGTAAAGCATCCTGTAATGTCTTTAGAGGATTTTTCCATCTGAACCTGCTTTACTGCATATCTGTAACTTTTTCTCTATGCATGGGCAAAATCTTAAACCTACCACATTGCTTAACTCATGGAGTTCTTGTGTATAAAGCATGCAAGCAGCATCTGGAATACGTGCCTTTGAGATTAGGAACCCATTTTGTCTCTGTTTTGTGTGTTTAGACCTTTATTTAAACTTTCTCAGTTGTATGTGGCTATACATGGCTAGACATTAGCAGCTATATTTTGTCAGATTTTTCTGTCCAGGCAGTCAGATCCAAAATAAACAATCATGAAAGCTCAGCTGATAGCTTAGGCTTGTTTCTAACTATCTCTTATAACTTAAATTAACCCATTTTTATTAATGTGTTTTTGGCCTCGTGGCTTTATTTGTTTTACTCTACAATGCCCATGCTGTTTTCCTTTTTCCCCTGCTCTCTGGCTGTTGACTTGACTCTCTGTGTTTCCAACCTACTTCTCAGAATCCTCTCTGCCGTGAAAATACTGTCTAGTTATTGGCCATTCAACTTCTTATTAAATCAACTTTACTTATACATCTTCACAGTGTACAAAATATTATTCCACAACAATAGTCAGAGAACTGGGGGAACAGAACAAAGAAAAAGAAATGAGGAGCCAGGTTCTATAGTCAAAGAGGGGAGGGGAGACATTACCTCAGCCCATATACACTGAATATAAGCAGGAATCTGAGGTGAGCCCTGTAGATACTTGAGGGGAGAGTTCCATATAGAGAAAGTAACTGGTTCAGGGTCACTGAGAGAGCAGAGTTCATGTAGCTCATCCCCCTCCAAGTATGGTGGTTCCACTCTCACCCACCTAGCTAGGCTGAGTGATAAGCATGTCTTTTCAGGAGACAGGCTCCATCTTTTCATAAAATACAGAATTCCAAATGTTCATGGATTTCTCTCTTCCCTTCTAGCCTCCCTTTTAATCCTCTGGCTGCCTTCTACTGTTGCCCAGCTCACCATTGAATCAGTGCCGCCAATTTCTGCTGAAGGGGATAATGTTCTTCTTTTTGTACATAATCTGCCTGAGAATGTTCAAGCCTTTTCCTGGTACACAGGAGTTATGGCGCTCAAGAGCCGTGAAATTGCAAGGTATGAGATAGCTACCAATTCACGTACTCTCGGAACTGCACACAGCGGCAGAGCGACAGTATTCAATAATGGATCTCTGCTGATCAAGAATGTCACCAGGAAGGACTCAGGATACTACATCCTACAAACACTCGATACACATTTGCGATCTGAAATAACACGTGTGGAATTTTTTGTACATGGTAAGTCATTCTTTGTAACTTTCTGGTGCTGGTAAGGTTCATTTCATTGCACATGCACAGGACTGTCAAGCCTGAACTGGATGTATCTTTTTATACGTTGTATCCTCATGTTGTGGTTTGAGGATTTATTTCAGGACATGAACTGTGGAGACAAACTGCCATAGATCAGTTTGTCTCCCTCATCTGACTCCAGAGAGGACCTGTGCTGGGTAACTTAGTCAAGAATGTCGGCCTCAGCACAGACTCTTGGAGCTGTTACCATGAACATAGACCTGGGTTTGGGAAAAGATGAGGAAACCATGGGACTTCCTGTGGCCCTGGATCCAGACCACTGTCCTAGACTCAGATCAGAGTGAGGAGTGACAGCAGGACTTATGAGAAGTGATGTAGCTAATATTTTCACCAGCAAGGGAGAACAGAGCAGACAGTGGAGGCTATGAAGCCATCCTCCACGTCTCCTTGCAGATGACACACAAAATGGCAGGAACTCCTGCTACAGGTCCATAGGCCATTCCCTGACCATTCCCTACCCTGTGTGGGAGGCAGTTCATCCAGAAGTGGCCTAGAGACTCCTGAAGAGGATAAGGGCCTGAGAGGAGACTCGGAATTTCTCTTTTCTGGGGTAGAGGAGAAGATACAAAGGAATCAGAGGCTCAGCAGCACCAAGTTCTTGATAGGCAGGAAACAGTTATGTAGAGGGGGAAAGGTTTGATTTTTCTTAAATTAAGTTAATCCACTTGGCAGCTATATTCTGAACTGTATTCTGAAGAATAATTTCCCATCTATTCAAAAGGAAAAGCAAATTGCAGTGGGCCATTGAGATGACTCAATGGAAGTGGGTACTTGCTGTTGGCTCTAAGTTCAATCCTCATATCCCACAAAGTGGAAGGAGAGAACTGAGTCACACAAACTGCCTTCTGACCTCCTGCACATGGGTTCTGTGGCATGCACCCACTTTGACAAAGAGAAAATAAACATAAAATCAAACTAGGGTATAAAATACTGTAATTGGTAAATTAATACATGGAGATACAGTGACATGACATGAAGTGTGCATTCATTCATTCATTCATTCATTCATTCATTCATTCTCACTCACTCATTTGCTCATTGAGTCATTTAAAGGCATGGGACTTTCCCAAAAAGATCATCCTGGTCCCTGGCAGAAAGTCTTAGTAGTGGATTGCAAGACTCATGACAAGGGCATCAAGAAGGTAACACAAAGGGACTACTGCAAAACAAGTGAGAGTGTGAAGGCTCAGGTTCTGTCAAGGGAGAGTCCAGTAGAGGCACATTCCTTCATGTGCTCTGGTTGTGAACATGGATCTGAGGGTAGTAAGGGGTGAGTTATACAGAAAAATGAGGAGAAAGTTCCATACAAAGGAAATGACATGTTCAATGGCACTGAGGGTATGGAGGTCATATTTCTGACCTCTACCAAGTACTATAGACATAGCCTCACCCAAACACCAGTTCTACTCAAGACTCAGAGACCCATCTTCCTGCCAAATGCAGAATATTCATTATTGATGGGCTTATTTCTCTTTCCTTCTAGCCCCAATTTTCGGCTTCAAGAAGCATGCCACCCCCTCCAAACCCACAGTTGAGTTAGTGCCACCCATGGTGGCTGAAGAAGACAATGTTCTTTTTCTGGTTCGTAATCTGCCAGAGAAGCTTCAAGGCTTTGCTTGGCACAAAGGGGTACTTCCACTAGACCACTTCAAGATAGCAAGCCATGCAATCCTGATTAATTCAAGCATGCTGGCACACAAATATTATGGTAGAGCAACAATATATACCAATGGATCCCTGCTACTCCAGAATGTCACCCAGAAAGACACTGGAATTTACACCTTACGAACCATATCTGCAGATTTGAGATCAGAATGGGCCATTATGCACCTCCAAGTAAACAGTAAGTGATTCTTTGTGACTCCTGGGTGATAAAGAGTGTTTGTTCGGATCTACATCCACAGGAGAGTAAAGAATTGGCTGTACTTATCTCTACACTGTATCTTCTCTACACTGTATCTTCTCATTTGGAATTGGGCATTTAGTCCAGGACATGCCTGGGGGAGACAAACTGCACTATATCAGAAGTAATGGGAGGGATCAAGAAGACTGAGTTGGGAAAGTGTTGGAGAGGCAGAGCAATGAAAAAGGTATCTTAATAGAAGGAGCCATTATGGGGTTGCTAAAGAAATACTCAGGAATCCACAAGGATGAGCCCTGGTAAGACTCCTAGCAATCATAGGAGGGTGTCAGAACAGGCATTCCCCTTTTCTCAGGTTTAGTCACTACCTTAATTGTCATCATAGAACCTACATCCAGTAACTGCTGGTAGCAGATTCAATGACCCAAAGCCAGCACTGGGTTGAGCTCTGGCGTTTGGTTAAAGAGAGGGATATGGGATCACATGAACAAGGGATGGTCAAGACGATGGTGAGGAAAATCACAGACACAGCTGATCAGAACTAGTGGGAGCCCATTGACTATGGACTGACAAATGAAGAATCTGCATGAGACCAAACTAGATCCTCTGAATGGAGATGACAGTTACATGATTTGATCTGTTTGGGGATGGCAATGTCACCAGGACCTATCCCAGGGAAATGAACTGGCATTTTGGAGCTCACTCACTGTGGTGGAATGCCTTGCTCAGCCTTGATATAGGAGAGGGGATTGTTACTGCCTCAACTTGGTATGCCAGACTTTGTAGACTCCTCAAGGAACACCTTACCCCCTCTGAGGAATAAATGTGGAGTGGGAAGGAAGAGAGGAGGGGTAGAAAAGGGGAGGGAGAGGAAAATGGGTTGGTATGCAAATGAAAAATAAATTAAAAATAAATAAAATAAAAAGTGAGATGCTAATAGTGTGAAATTATAATAAAATAAAATTTGATGATACAATCAGTCTAGATGTTCATTTTCGATAAGAAATACGATTGACAGTGGCTGAAGTAAAATAAATAAAACTTTGAATAACCTCATATCTACTTAAGAATTCAAGTGCTTATCCACTCAGAGGAGACTGGTGAGAGTCACACACAGCTCTATTGGCACCTGACAGTCTGTGGGTGTCAGCCCTTACCTACCTGGAGTCTTGAGAGGACATGAATATCTCATACAACAGCTGATCCTGCCTGTGGTATGGAAGAATTTGTTGATGCTGACAGAACAAGGGCTTCCTCGTCTACAGGGCCTTGTTACCTGACATCAGTAGAATGTAGCTCCTTATTCCATAGAAGAAGAAAGGAAATCTAGTTTTGCATGCTCTAAGGCACAGTGAGGGACCATCCATCCTAGGATAGTGAACGGATTGGGGTCCTGATTGTTTGCCTAATATTCTGACTTTTTCCTCTTGAAGACCCCTAGCTGAGAAGTGGCTTTTTCATCTTGACTCCCAACTCACCAAACTAGTTTCCAAGGACACTCTTTTGCGGTGGGGGTGTGGGGTGGTGGAGGATGTCTCTGTATACACCAAGGCCAGCAGAGTGTCAATCAGTGAAAGGCAAGAAATATGCCTGGTTCAGTGCCATTCACTAGCTGATGTTGGTTCAAACTTTGACAGTCTGACCCTGGTTAGTTTATTTTAGGCACATTTAAACACAGCACAACTTGGAAAAACATTTCCTGTTGATAACTAGCCTCACAACAAAGCTTATGATTTGACTACATAGAAATCCTGGTAAAGTATACAATTGGTATTTTCCATGAATATGGGTTCTGTGGATTAACTGAGGAAACAACCCAAGATAAACAAGCTTATGATAAAAATCTAGAGGAAAAAGTGTGACTTGGCCATATAGACAGTGCAAAAGTCACCAGGCTATTAGTCATTCCCACTCCCATCTTTTCAGGTAGAAAACAGGTCATATTTCTCCTCTTTTGAAGACACAACCCTCTGTGTTTAATGTCCTAGTGCTTATTTGTAAGGACAGGGGCATACATGCCTCCTACAACTCTATGTGTTTTACAGAGACTTATCTGAAATGGAAGAATTGAATTTGATCTTTCTAAATCAAGATCAAAACAAGAGCAGAATGACCTTTGACCTCTGACACAAAATAGGTTGTGATCCTGGTCCAGGTGTAGAAGTCTCCTAGCTCACCTGCCAGACAAGAGGCCTATGTTTCCTCAGTTGAGATGCATAGAAGTAGAGGAGGAGATTCCTCACATGGCATCCGAGTGTCAACATAAGCTATGTGATTGATGTATAATTTAATAAGACCACAACACCTCATAAGCACTGCTGCAAGATGCAGTCAGACTCAGGGAATGGACTCCCTGCCAATAGTTAGTACCTGTACCCATCATTTGGTTCTCCATGCAAGTCAAATATCTCTGGAAATGGTCAGGACATATGCAATACAGAAAAGTCTTAACTTGATCCATCCTGAGGCCATTCCTCTCCCAGAATATCTTGGTTGAGCATGCTTGGCATGAGCCCTTTCCTTGTGAAGTTCTTCTGGTCAAAGATGAAGAAGTTCTTCCTATCAGAGCCCAAGAGACAGAAGCTTCCAGTGTTGTTTCCTTGGATTTCACAGCCCAGTGTTGCCTGAAGGGTGTGAATGCCTGGCCACACCAGGCAAATATTTGTCACCTCTCTGTTTAAGGACCTTAGTTCCCAACAGATCTTACATCTTGTGACCTCTTAGCAGTCTGGTTCCACATCTGTCAGAGAAGCACCGCTGGTTTACTCAAACAGGTTAGTGATGTCCAGACCCCATTCCTGACTTCAGGGACCAGAGTGGAATTGGGTGCTTCTGTCTCTGCCTACTTATTTCCATCCTGGCCCTTCTGGGTCATGACCTCAGCTGGTATCCTCCTGAGTTGCTTCTCCTTCTCCTGTAGGTCCTCAGTCTGTCTTGTGCAGATCTCAGCCTCCATAGCCCCTTTATTCTGGCCCCCAGGACTCTGCTTTCTCCAGCTTTCCTGCTGTCTCCATCATGGAGCAGAGAGAGCTCATAATTAAGACATCTGAGTACCTGGAATCCTTCCAAAATAGACTCCTCCAGAGACAAAAGCTGTGAGGTCATAGCCCAGATTATGAGCTCCTGCGGGAAGAGGAAGCAGGTGATACTCCTTAAACGATGATGGTTTCTACAGTTACCTCTTCCTTTAAGGATTAAGGTCAGAATATTTTGTACAGATGTGTGAGTGTAAGAAAATAAGTTGAGTGTTTTGTTATAGTGTGAAAGAGAAATCAAGGTAAGGGAGGGAGAGATTGAAAGAGAGAGGGGGAAATTGAAGCATTGAGAAGTTAAAAGGTATATAGGGAAGAGAGTGCTACTGTGTGCATTTCAACTGAAATCAACATATGAAGGACAGATCCCCAGCAGCACACAGGGTCTCAGTGAAGCCGTGACTCAAGTTTTGGCACAGCTCCATTCTGAGGGACAGAGGTGATCATCCTTTGTACCAAGTACTAAAGAGATTGAGAAAACCCACAGTGTACAGCAATACAGAATCTAAAAGTGTTTTATGAAGTGTCTAGGATACAGTATGAATGGGAATTACTTAATAGATAGTAATCAAGAAGATTATGAAGGACCTAGAAGGTTGTCTCAGTGGTTAGGAGTGCTTGCTGCTCTTGCAGAAGATGAGAGTTTGGTTAGCAGCCCCCATATCAGACACCTCATGACCCCAACAACTCCAGACTAGGGGACACAACACCCTTTTCTGGTCTCCATCAGCACCTGCACACAGAGTCATACACTCCCAAACACACTCATGCATACACATGAACAAAAATAAAAAGAAATATTAAAAGTAAAGACTATGGTCTTCCATCTTTTCATGGATTCTAGAGATTAAACTAGAGTGGTCAGGCTTGTCTAACAAGCTCTTTACCTTGTCAAAGGCCAAGAAGTTTATGTTAGTCAGCTCTCAGTTACTCAAACAAAACACTTGACACAATCAATATAATAGGAGGAAGATATAGTTAGAGCTCTGTTATTTCCAGGATAGCAATGGATATATGAGATCCTGTCTCAAAAAAAAAAGTAGAAACAAGAGTAGAGATCCACTTGTTTTTATCTGGATATTTTAATTTATATTTCATCCTCTTGCTTTGGGGTCTACGTCAAAGGCAGAATGTCCTAGGAGCACATGGCAGAGGAAGTTGCCCTGATGGGGGGGTTCTTCTGTACATATGTTTCTTTTATTGGTTGTGGAATAAAACACTGTTTATCCAATAGAGACAGGAACACAAGCAGGGCTAGGAGATGAGGAGAATTCTAGGAAAGGGAGGCAGAGCGAGACCTTGGGAAATGCCATGTAAAGACTGGGAGAATAGGACACTGCAGAGGTTCCCTGGTAAGATAAGGCCATGTAGAAATATGTAGATTAGTAGTTATGGGTTAATAATTAAGATAGAGCTAGCCAATAAGGAGCCCTAGCTATCGACTAACAGTTTTATAATTAATATACCATCCATGTGTTTATTTGGGGCTGAAGCAGCAGCAGGACCTGATGGTAAAAGGAACCCTAGCACTGTTGCCCACAGGATAGCATCTGGCATATGAAATGAGAAGGGAGGGAGGGTCTGAGGTTACACATGACCTTCCCTTCTATGACTCAACATTTTTTCACTGAACTCAATGCCATAAAGCACTTGGGCCTTCCAACAAATCCACAGTCAGGTTTGTAACACCAGGCAAGACAGGGTTTCTTTGTGTAACAGCTCTGACTGTCCTGGAAATCATTCTGTAGACCAGACTGGCCTCAAACTCACAGAGATCCTACTGCCTCTGCCTCTGCTAAGTGCTGGGATTGAAGTGTGCACCACCACCATCTGGCTTAATGGCTTATTTTAACTAGTATTATTCACCACCGTAACATCGAGCCCCTGCCTCCTTCTCCTTTGAATAAAGCAAAAAAGGGGGAGACGTCGGGGGCCATGCCAAAAGTAACCTTGGACCTGTAAGAGACTTGGGCAGAAGCTGCCAGCATAACCCCTTATGTTAAAAGAATAGCTGCCTTCAATCCTTTCCTCCCTGATACATAACGTCTGGGCTCATAAAGTACCTTATAAAAGGAAAGATATATTTCATGGTCAGGTTACCTAGCAACCCTTCCCCCCTTCTAATCCACTAACACCTTCACCCTGAGACCTTGGTAACCTCCTGCGCCCTCAAGGACTCATGCACAGAGGCATCCCCCCACGGTTTTGTTATCAGGTAAATGGCTTAAAACAACCTCTCCCTGCCTGCCAAGCTCCCCACTTGGCACCCCTATATAAGGTCCCTGTGAAAAATAAAATTTTGCAGCTTGATCGGAAACCTGTCTCACTGTGGTTCCTTGTTCTATCCCCATCGTTCTAGGTTCTTTGGTGACTGCAGCACATCGGGGTGTGAGCTCCAGTGGTGCCCCGCAGGTGGGGGCAATTTACCATAGTTGCTAGTTTTAAAAGACTATTCATTTCTATGATGTTGTGTATCTGACCATATTTACACCCTCATTAACCTTGTTTCTCTTCCCTCCCCCTTCCCACCTCTAGTTTCCTTCCCGCCTTTGAGTTTCTGTCTTTATTTGCATAATATACAGCCTTCCTCTCTCTTTTACTGTCTGTCCATCAAGAATGCCCTTTGCTCATCCCTCCTCCCTCTCCACTACTGAATTCCAGTAGTATGGTTCAGGACTTAGCTGTGGGTGCCTGTTTCTGCTTTGAACAGCAACTGGATGAAGGCTCTATGAATGGTAACCAAGATAAACATCAACCTCATTATAGGGGAAGGGCATCAATAGTATCCTCTCCACCACTGCCTGGCTTCTTAGTTGGAGTCATCCCTGTGAATCCCCTAACATTTTCCCTGTGCCAGACCTTTCTCCAAACCTATACTGTCTCCCTCTATCAAGGCATCTCCTTTCTTGCCCTCCTCTATTCCTGCCCTGTCTCAGTCCTCTTGTTCCCCTCCCCATTCCCCTTCTTCCCTTCCTATCTCCTTCTCCCCGCCCCTGGGCTCCCACTTTGGTCAGGGGCTCTTGTCCCCCATCCCATTCTTCAAGGGACTATGCAATCTCCTCTTGGGGTTCTCCTTGTTTCCTAGCTCCTCTGGCAGTGTGGATTGTAAAATAGTGATCCATTGCTCTATGTCTAAACATAAAAAATGAGTGAGAACATAACATGTTTATCTTTTTGTGATTGGGCTACCTCACTCAGGACGGTTTCTTCTTCTAATGCCTGTGCATTTCAAGATTTGATTGTTCCCGGTGAGTAGTACTCCATTGTGTAAATTTACAACAGTTTCTCTATCCATTCTTCAGTTGAGGGACATCGAGGTTGTTTCCAGGTTCTGGCTATTACAAATAATGCTACTATGAACATAGTTGAGCATATATCCTTATTGTATGAGTGTGCATTCTTTGGGTATATGCCCAAGAGAGGAATTGCTGGATCTTGAGGTAAACTGATTCCCATTTCCCTGAGAAACCACCATACAGATTTCCAAAGTGGTTGTACAAGTTTGCACTCCTACCAGTAAGGGAGGAGAGTTCCTCTTTCTCCACATCTTCTCCAGCATAGATTGTCATAGGTGTGATTGATTTAGCCATTCTGAAAGAAGTAAGATGGTATCTCAGAGTGGTTTTGAGTTGCATTTCCCTGATGGCTAAGGATTTTGAGCACTTTCTCAAGTGTCTTTCAGCCATTTTGGATTCCTCTGTTGAGAATTCTCTATTTAGTTCTGCATTCCAACTTTTAATTGCATTGTTTGGTTGTTTTGGTGGCTAGCTTCTTTTGTTCATTGTATATTTTGGTGATCAGCCCTCTGTCAGATGTGGGGTTGGTGAATATCTTTTCCCATTCTGTGGGCTGGTATTTTGTCTTGCTGACTGTGTCCTTTGCCTTACAAGCACTTCTCAGTTTCAAGAGGTCCCATTTATTAATTGTTGATCTCAATGTTTGCGCCATTGGTGTTATGTTCAGAAAGTGGTATCCAGTAGAGGATGCTGTAGCCACACCTGCTTAGGGGCTGGCTGCAGGTGTGCCTGACCACACTGGTGTGATCAGGGGATGTAGAGTAAGGGGCAGTCAGGTGGCTGGTTTCGTTTTCACTTTCGGCTTGTGCAGACTGCTGCCCACCGGCTGGCTAGGTTGCTCTGTAAGAAAGGCTTTTCCCTATTAAAATCCTTTGTATTTCTACCTGGCTCCATATTGGTAATTTCCCACAGTCTCCTGTACCAATTTGTTCAAGGGTATCACTTACCTTCTCTTCTAGGAGGTTCAATGTGGCTGAATTTATGTTGGCTGGAGAGCCTTGCAGAAACAGTGGACCTGACCTACTGATAGCATGGAGACCCTAGTCATAAACCTGGGGAAACTGCATTGAACCAATCCAGGCCATTTGAATGTGGGTGCCAGCTAGGAGGCCAAGACAGACTACGGGTCCTCTAACAGTGGAGCCAGTCTTTATCCCTAGAGCACAAACGGACTTTGGGAGCCCATTCCCTATGGAGGGATATTATTGCAGCCAAGATACAGCAAGGAGGACCTAGGCCCTCCCCCAGATAATATGACAGACTTTGAAGGTACCTGGTGGAGGACCTCACTATCCCTGGGGAAAGGATGGGGGTTGGTTTGGGGAGTTTGGTGGGGGACATGGAAAGATAGGAGGGCGAAGGAATGGGGTGATGGATATGTAAATATGAGTAGTAACTAAAGAATTTAAATAAATAAAAATGATGTTATTATGCCATCATCTTAAAAAATTAAGTTAAAAAGAATGTCCTATCTCTTTTACTATTTGTCCATCTTAACCCCAGTAAAAGAAAGCAACAATAAAACAAACAAAAGAAAATCCCCCTTTCTTTCTCTATTTCCCAAAGAAGAGGCTTGACAAAGAAAGCTAATGAGAATATGGTACATTCCAGAACAGCTCAGAGTGGAGTAAAGAAGAAAACCATTGCATAATTTATACATGAATCAAAAAAATCAATTGGACTCCATTAATGCATATTTATATATGGCTTGTTTTTAAATCATAAATATTTGTGTGTGAATGTGCATAAACATGCAGGTTCCCATGGAATCCAGAAGAGGGTTTGGATCCCCTGAAACTAGAAATACAGGTGGATTTGAGCTGCTAAACATGGGTGCTGGGAACCCAATTCAAGTGCTCTGCAAGAGCAGTCTGTGCTCTTGCACAGTCTTGCCAGCCCATAATGTTTATACCTTTTATTTTTCAGGGAGACAAAATATTTAGCAAGGATATTTCTTAATTTACTTATCCTTGTGGCTTTTGTGTTTTGATTTGCTATTGATTTCTGGCTGCATTTCACTTTGTTCATCAGAGTTACTCTAGTTAACCTAATATTTATGAAGTGATTTGGAAATTTTGGGCCCTGATATGCGGCTTACCCTAAAGAAGGTTCCAGATGCCCTGCATCATGACATGTACTCTAATGCTACTGAGCAAAATAAGGTGGGATACAATATACCTTGCCTCAGCAAACTGCATCATGTCTACATGAGTTTAAATTTGTTTTCCCAACATTACAGGGGTAATTAGATATTTTTCCTGACTCCATTTCAGACAAAGGCTTGATAGCCACTGTCCCTTCCCCTGAAGGTGTGTATCAATGTTAAATTGAGCTAGCCCCTCTTTCCTGTCTCTGTGTTTGTACCCTTTTGTACATGTATGCAGGTATATTGCATTGTTGGTAGAGTCCAGAGGTCAACAATGTATGTCTTCTCCATCATCACTCTGTTTTGTTTTAGAGACAGGTTCTCTGATTAAATCCAGAGAACTTGATTTGGTTGGACTGGGCTGCCTTCACCCCCTTTTGGGTTAGGCTGACAAACATGTGCATGCAGGCCTAACTTTTGTTGGGTACTGGAGATACAAACTCAGGTCCTCATGATTGCTTGTTAAGCATTTATCCAAATGAGTCATCTCCACCAACCCCTTCCTCCCTTCACTCACCCAGGAATAATCTGAAGCATGTAGGTTGAAATGTGCCACCAGGGAGAATTTGCAATGGAGTTCCCAAGGACACCATCTCAACGTCCTATTACCCTCCTCCTTCTTGGGTCTGCCTGATACTGACATCGAAAAAAAATAAGAAAAGATACCCAGATTGTGTATCCACTACTGTTGAGATTGCATTTCTCAGCTATTCACTCTTTACTGGCTCTGATCCCAGATCTGTAAGCAACCACTAGGCCTTTGGAAACTAACATGTGGCAGAAGATGTGGTCATGTGTATTCCCAGGACACCCTGAAACACACACATACATGCACATCCTCGAATCAGCACACACTCAGGCCAGTTTTCCTGACCATCTCTAAAACTGTCCTTATCCACCACAGACGTTATTAAGAAGCCTGATTCCAGTTCTCTGGATGGATTCTGAGTCAGACACAATGACTTTAATGAGCAAGGCATGGGTGATGTTGTCCTGGTAATCAATTCTGTGAAAGCAGACCAAAGTGTGGATGGGTCAAATGGAAGAGCCAGGTTGGCCACCCACCTGAAGCTCTGGGATACCTCTGAACAGGATGAGGTGCAATAGACTGGCCTCTCAACATATGGTAATATTTGAAAATCTTCCAGAGCCCAATGCACACAGATATTCATCCAAGCAGTAGCAAGCTCTTGAAATGGGTGAGACATCAGTAAACTTGGACTCGGGAAATATTATAAGGTCAAGAATTGCCTCACTATCAAAATGGACATGAACTCATTTCCTTTCCCAAGCATTTGTAAGAATTTAGATAGATCACTGGACCCTTTGGCATAAACTTGACAATACTTATTGTCTCTATTATTATTATTATTATTTTATTATTATTATTAATAGTAGTAGTAGTAGTATCATTATTATAATTATCATCATCATTATTCACAACATAGTATAAATTTCCTCTTTCTCTCACACTGCCTTGGAAATGACAGTCTCTCTTCAGCAAGTCTATTCATGTCCTCTGTTTCTCCTGTCCCTATGACTCCATCTAATTTACACATGTCCCCACTAAGCTGGTCTCCATCCTTCCTTTTTCCCTTATCCAGCCATGGCTTAATGGGACAAAAAACTCATGGTGTAGTTTGGTGGAATCGTGCCAAATCCCACCATTTTAGGGGACACATCGATGTCACGGGGTGCCTGTGAGGATCTGAGGTGGAAGTTCTGCAGGATG